TAATAAGACGGTTCTCTCCGTTTATGACAAAAGCATTTGATACTAAGAGCAAAACGTTAAATGTCAATAACAATGCAATCGCTTGTTTTCAAATAAAAGTAACTTGAAAGTTAAACAAATCACCAGAAGTGATGCATATAATTTAAAGAAGATGCTTCGTTAAGTGATACCTCAGTGCTAACTAGTACCGCACGACTGATTCATAATCAAACTACAAAATTTTACCAAATTTCATACCGTCGTTAGGAGATCTTCTACTAGGTCTGCCACAAGCACATTTGCTAAATAGTTTCACAATACAACATGAAATGTTGTTGCAAAGTTTGCAAAGTACAGCTGTCTGCATAAACGAGCTGTTTTTCAAGTTGGTTGTTTTTTTATTTGTTTGTTTGTTTGTTTCTCTTCTGATTTTATCGATTACGGAAGTTCAATTCATATCTATCCAATTTTCCTTATTCTGAAACCGATTAAATTATTTATTATTGGTATTCTTTGAGAATTAATTCATTAGTTTTTTGTACTTTTATTATTATCATTTTGTTAATCAAGGATAAAGCTTTCGCATAATCTTCTAATATATCTTAGTTTAGCACCGAGAAGTGACAATTATGTACCCTAACGACGGTCACTGGACCATTTTCCCAATCTCTTAACTGAGGCCTTCTTTGCAACTTCCTCACTTGGTCCTGCACCTTCATTTCCGAGATCTTCAACCCTGGAGTATTTTGCCTTGTCATAAGCGCCCATGTCAAGAAGTTCCACATATGTCTTAGGAAAAAAGTAACAAATGAGGGTAATACATCAGCTGCAGAGCGCTAAAGTTTAAAGTCTAGGATATGCGTGAGTGAGTTTCCTATTTTCTCTCTAAAAATAGAGAAGTTGCAAGTACGTGGGTAAACCTGAGCAGATTTATGGAGACGATCACAATCGCCGTAAATATCAGAAGGAGCCAACAAGTTGAAATACTTCTAAATGGCCTGACAGGCTAGAAAATGTCTCTTACCAGAAGTATAAATGGTCTCAGCTGAAGCTTTTATAGAGCGAACGGAAATAAAACCAAAGCTACTAAGTATTGCTCCCAACACATGGGGGAAAGGTAAGAAGTTTGAAAAGTTTTCGAGACTTTAAAAAGCATAAAATATTGGGAAGTTGTCAATTCTAGAAACAAACCTCTTCACGAAGGTATTTGTCCATTCTTTTTCGCAGGTTTTCAAAAGGAGGACGGAAGTCAGGGTTACGATTCCAGCACCTTTTCATGATATCATACCTGAAATTTAACAAGGATGGTCTACTCTTAACTATTCTTTTATAGATTGTGCAAAGAATACCAATAAGGTCCTCCTACAGGAACCTTTTCTTAAAAATAGTATAGGCAATGGTTCAGGTTTGTCCTTTTATTGAAAATAGTATAGGCAATGATTCAGGTTTGTTCTGGGACGTCGAACATATCGCACTACTTCACTCGCTCTGATGTTTTTCAAATACATTTTAATGTCATAATTGTCCACGCTGCATCTCGCTGAATGCGGTATGCTCCTGGTTCACATTCACATAACAGAAACCTACTGATATGATTGTAGCCCAGTTGCTTTATTGCAAAGAAAAGAACGGTAAATGTGTCGTCTTAGATCTTAGGTTATTTTTAGGAAGACGTTGATATTATGCTAAAAAAGTGCAACTCACACTTTGTTATCAACATGATCGGGCTTTGGCATCTGATATCCCTTTGTGACCTCTGCAACCACCATGCCTTCTGACCATCCGTCGTACGGAATTCCTCCTGTCAATGCATAAGGACAAGTACATGTCACATTTCTTAATACATCAACTCTGCAGTGACCATGTCACAACTAAGTTACAGGACGGAACATTATGTAAGAACTAAAGAATTAGCTTAAAGAATTTTACAGGGATAAATGGCCAAGAAGTAAGTAATAACAAATCTTATTAAAATAATAGTAACAAAAATAGCATTACTTCTATAGCGCTTGCGCATTGCTGTTCTAAGCGTTAAATGTATTGACTGAACATAGTATGGCTTACCAAGGGTAACTATCTCATACAGAACGATACCATAGGACCACCTAACGAGAGCATATCACAAAGATTCCACAGTTAATCGCTGAGTGAATTTTGGACTAGAAATGATAAAGAAAAATCCAAAGGTAATCAGTTTGTTAGGTTGTTGGATTAATATACATATCTATACATACACATCACTCAAGGTGGAAAGTCCAGCAAGTTCTCCCAGCAGAATCTCTGGTGCAGTCCATTTGATTGGCAAACATCCCTGGAGAAACAACCAATAAACGTTTGCCGTACAAAACTTATGTCCCTTTTTTTTGCAAAGCCATCTTTAAAAAAAATATGAAGCTGCATGCATAACGTAAATATGTTAAAATGAGAAAAGAAAACTACATTTCTCGTTCCCATATAGGTCAATCCAATGTTGGCCTTCGTAAAGCTGTCACGCAAAACAGAAAACGTAACTCCTTTCGCGAGACTTTCTACAAAAAACGTAAATGAAATTTACATATCCCGATGCCCAGGCCAGAGTACTTATTCTGTTTATTTCGAACTCTGTTTTGTTTTGCTTCTTTCTTTTAATTCAAAGTGAGCTATGAAACCCTGTTGGTAGTCGAGGTACATTAACTTTCTGTAGAGAATATGCTTACGCTTACAACTTGTTTCCAGAAAAACCCCGCATTGTTGCAACAAAAAAGTGTTTTCTACCTTTTTGGCATTTCCATGGCCATACTTGAAGCTTTGATATGCCATACCAAAGTCCGTCACTTTGCAAACATAGTTTTTATCAAGGAGAATGTTTCGAGCTGCCAGGTCACGATGGATGATCTATCAGAAGATAAGGAGCCAGAATACAAAAGCTAAGAAACGATAGGTTTATATAGGGCAGCGGAGAATCAAACGTCTGAGTACGTTCGAACGAAAAAAGGGCTCAAACTAAGTCAGCCCTATATAATGATTTAATGCTGACAAAACCAACATTTCTACTTTTTTTATTAAAAGCAGTGACTTGCTAATGTCAACAAAAAGCATCATGGCTAAAAAAGGTCTTAGAGGTTTTATCTTAATTCAAAAGCACTCAAATATGTTGGCCAAAATCCGAACTATTAAAAAATAAAAGTTTAAATCTTTGAAAGATTTTTCTGAGTTAGAATTGACATGCGAAAAGTATTCCACTTACCCCTCGCGATCCAAGGAACACCATACCGGCGGCGATTTGTTTGGCAAACATCACAAGATCGTAGTTGGTCAAATCCTGGGCTCTTCCCTCACCAAGATAATAGCGATCCCTCACTCCTCGACATTTTCTCAGGTAACCAAGGAGGTCACCACATGGCATGTACTCCATGATGAGTATTGGGTGAACTTAAGCGACGTAAAAAAAAAGAAAAAGTAAATAAACCCCATGCCAAGGCTCCTTACTGTATATATATATATATATATATAAAACATTCTGGATGACTTTCTTCATAAAGCAGTTTAGCCTACACGAAGGACTCATTTTTCGTTACCTAACCTCAGCAAAATTTACTTTCAAAAATTTGCCATAGGTCCGACCGAGATCTTAGTGAACTGTCGATGGATACATGCTCTTGGAGAAAACAGTCTGGTTGCCACACAAAGAAGACAAACTTCGTTCCATTAACATTTTATTTACGGAACTCATGTTAAGAGGTCCGAAGAGGGTTCATTCAGCATTTGTACTATCGTTAATAAAATATACCTAGAAAAGATGCTGTACGCTTAGTACTTACTTTCTGTCGTAACGCAGCCCACGAACTTTACAATGTTTGGCGGAACATTTTCACCGATAAGTTTCCCCAGCTCAATTTCCCTCATCAGACATTTCCTTCCTTCCTCTCCAGCAGTGGCTACAACAAAAGTATACATTCATTGAGACACATTCTGATTAATACATTTGTTCCACGCAAGTTCAAGCCAGAAAGAATTC